AGAGGCCTCTTCCGACAGGAAAACTCTTTACAGCTTCAGCCATTCCTCTGAATCACTACAATCACTCAAAGATAAATTCAGAGTGAAAAAAGAGTACAACCCACGATTGATGTCCTGACACTTCTAGGTCACTCTTTCTTCGAAGGCAACAGCAGGACGGGCAGGTACTGCACCAAAGCTGGGTTTGACATCAGCAGCTCCGGCAGTGCTGGATGGCACCCTTGGAGACCAGGACTGAACAATTACTGACCTGATGCCTTAGGATGATACCAAGATCACCTGACTTTTAGGTAAAACATAAAAATAAACTCCATCAAAGAATCTCATCCATAAATGAATCTTTCCGGTTTGGAAGGACAGTATAAACAGACACCTGCTTAATGCTGTGAAATTTCAAGACCGATTTCTCCCCTTCTGCACAAAAAAAACCAAACAACAATCTCAGATAAGGAAAATATGTTTAATATTTAACTGTAGTAAAAGAGGGGCACATAGCAAAGCTTTGTGCCCAAGCTAGCAGATTTTAAAAGAGGCATATGTAGACATGGACATGTGAAATTGTCAAGAAAATTTAAAATAACTACTTTCACTATTTGATAAACTCTTTAATATAATCTTCACTTTAACGGAATTTGTCAGAAACTCAGAATGCTTTTAGTAAATTGGTAAGGTAAATACCAAACATTTTATCAAAACATGAACTTGACAGCTACATAACTTAAATGGTACAGTGTGTTTTGTCTGTTGCACCAACTTTGAACTTTTTTTTCCCCAAACAACAAAACAAACTGAAACCACAAAACTAAAACAAGTACCAGTATGCTTTGGGATACATTTAGATCACTGACATTTAAGTAATCTCAACATCTTGGATTAATTAATAGTGAAGCAATTGGAGACAGAATCAAGCCCACTAACTTAGGGCTCCTAAAAAATGGCAACTTGAACACAGCAAATGTACGAACACTGCACGCAACTGATGGCAGATAGAGGAGATGTCAACTGTTGATGTCACTACAGGACACTGTGGACTCCCCAGCACTGCATTTACAGGAGGTATTTGCATCCAGAAAAGGCACCTCCTTTAACCCTCTCCATTGGGGTAAACGCACACTAGTGAAAGGGACACATGATAGCTCATGTTGACTCCCGATCACAACATGCAGCTGAACAGAAAAAGACAATTAAAAAAAAAAGGGGGAGGGGGGGAACAATCCTACACACAAAATCCCCACTCGTGGCTCCTGACCTCAGCCCTAATCTTGCCACCCCCTCACAAGTGTCACTCCCATCCTCCCCTTTATCTGCCCAGCACACAGGCCTGTGCTCTTCTCTGCTCACAGCCCAGATGTGGCCCAAAACAGGCCCCAGTGCTCATTTTGGTATAAACAAACTACTCTGGGAGGGTCTGAGGGGAGCATGGGATCTGGAACGGGGCTTGAGGAGGCTGGAAAAAGGGTGCCATGCAGGGGGTCACCATGCTTCACTGCAAAACGCTCTTGCAAAACGCTCTTCGCGCCTTGATGCTGTTTTGGGGGAGAAAACCTGAGGAAGTACAATTAGCTTCAAACCTACTCTTCCTGGTAAAACCGGTTACAAGGAGTATTTGCATATACTGTACAGTGAACACCCCTAACAAGGAGAAAATACACCCACTGCCCCTTTATTAAAGCTCTAAAACTATAAAAGCAGAAGCGGGAGTAAAGGGTAGGTAGCAGCAGACCACGGCAGCGAGGATTAGAGCTTTGAGGGGCTCCACGGAGGAAAATCACACCGAAAACCGGCCCGTGTGGGCCCGACACGACTTCCGAGGCCGCTCTCGCGCCCCGAAGGCCCCCACAGGCCGCGGCCCCCGG